ACAAGCCACAGTCATCCACAGGGAGGGTACTGTGAATTAGAGAGCTGTGGAGTCTGCGCTGTTCCAGCTATAGCCAGAATCTGAGGGGCACAAAGGTAGTTTAAGACCACATTTCTCACATTCATCTTGGCTATTCCATCCCTTTCACATGCAGAAATCATCCCTCCTTCCCTATATTGTTTAGTTTTCGTTCGTACTTTACTGTGTTGGTTACTGAAAGAATAAATAAAAGGAACCAAAAAGAAAGAAAGAAAAGAGCCTAGGATTATTCTAAGCTTGCTTTTATAAGCTGCATGCACGTCTCTGATATGATATGTAGTGGGTCATTTGAGGTTAGGAACTTACCTTTTATTGGGGAGGTGGTGATGATGGGATGCAGATGGAAAAATGGCAAAGGGAATAGATAGAAAGCTGCTGCATGCAATCTCTCTGCTCCTCTCCAATAGACAAAATTATTATTGTATTAAGCATTCATCTTCTTTGTCTTTAAACACCAAAGTCTTGTCTCCTTCAGCTCTGAAACTTAACCAGAGATTTTTTGTTTCGTGTCTTGGCTTGTAGCAGGGAAATGAGATGTCATGCAAGACATGGACCTTAGTGTCTTTATGAAAGCAAGCTGTGGCCTGTGAAAATTTTTGCAACCTCTTAAAGAATATATCTAGTGAGGAAAACCAGTAATCAAGGATTTATTTTTAACACCACATGCACTTGGCTTCATATTGAGTTGCAGAAGCCTGATGTTTTCTTGCTTTTCCAGAGAAGAAATTGGTGGTGGGGACAGCATGGAGTAGAAGGCACAAGGGACCACAGGTGCTAATCCGAGCTCTTATACTGGATGACTGTAACCCTGGGCACGTCACTTTGCTTCGCAGTTCCCTATCAGTAAAAAACAGGAGTTTAATACTTGCAATGCTTCTCTCATGTGAAATGCAAGGATTAGAAGAGCTGATGTGTGTCCAGAGCATCGAAGATGTGAGAGCTAAGTGCTCTTACAGTCCTTTGTCCTAATGTAGCTCCTCTCTGTTTTATCACAACAAGTAGTATGCACGCTACCAGTCAGAGGCTGGGTCTTTCCTTTCCTTGAACCTCCTTGCAATGGCTATTACAGAGCAGGGTTTCCTCCGTTTTTACAGTGGGAAAACTGATGCTGTCAATCTTACATAGACAGGTTTTAAAAAAACAGCTTCATTCGCCAGTAAGTTACTTTTCATCTCCAGATGTAATAGTAGACTAGTTCTGGTTAATGTTCTGGGATTTTTAGAATTCTCTCGCTTGCTTAGAATAAATGGGAAAAGTAGTACTACAGTGAGATGAGAACCTGTCATATCTGGGAAAGGTAAAAGGGAAGGGGAAACTTGGGAAAATACTTTTTAGTGTTTTTCTCCCCTGCAGGCTATGTGTTATTTACCTTCTCCAAGATCCTCCAAGAGTTGGCATTGGCATACTTCCAATCCCATAGCACTTTGCTAAAGTAAAGGATTTTAGATGTGGACTCAGGAGATCTGGATTCTCATCTGTGCCACAGGTTCAGGAAAGATGTAGTGTCTGTATGCCT